GCATCACACATTACTTCATTTCAACACACCAGATGCCACCACAGTACTAGCTTCGATAAGCGTGCTGCAACATGCCGAGCCGCTTTCCCAAATAGAAGACCCCAAAATCTAAATCAGGATGTCGTTCTGGCTGTCGATGGCTACACTATAAATCTAAGCCTGCATTCTCGAGCCTTAGAGCATCAGGCAAATATTGTCGCTCTAGTTGCACCTAAAATGACAGATCACCAGCCAAGCTTCTCTTTAGATACTGCGGGTTGGAATATTCCAAAAAATATACGATTATCGGATCCAGAAGTCTTCAGGCCTCAGCGCATAGACCTTCTCATAGGAGCAAACATTTCTCAGACGGCCAAATAAAGTTGGCGCCAGAGCTACCAGTACTTTGGGTTGGTTCGTTTCGGTTGGGTGGTTTCAGGAGGTAGCAGACAATTAGAGAGGGTGAACAAGAGGCAGTTGAAAAAATTGATATACTGCTAAAGCGCTTTTGGGATATTGAATCTTGTGGCGTAAACTTGGAAGTCAAACAAGAACATGTAGATTGTAAGACTCATTTCAAATCAAATTTTGCTTGCCTCTCAACTGGAGAGTTCTCAGTAAAGTTGCCTCTAAAACTAAACTTGGATGTTCTTGTTTAGAAAGAAGACTGGATCGGCATCCTCAGCTAAAGGAAAAGTACGCAGCATTCATCAAAGGATATAGAGATTTGGCTCACATGGCGTTGGTGAGTCCCGAATCAAAAGTACGATGTCAATACTACAAGTCGCATCATTGCGTTCTTAAAGAAGACAGTTCGACCATAAAGCTCAGAGTCGTATTCGACGGTTCTGCAGCAACTTCTACCACCCTTCAAGCTAAATTATTGCATACGCTGTTGCGGCTTCGAACATTCGAGTGGCATTAACTGTGGACATTTGTAAGATATCAGTATAGCAATGTACGGAGAGATTCTTCACTAGAGAAAATACAAATTTACAGATTCGATACAGTCACCTACGGAACCAGATGCCATTCTTGCAATACGTTGCATGCAAAAGTTGGCTCAGGACGTGCAAGATGCATTTCCAATCGGCTCTTACGTTTTAAATAGTGATTTTTACGACGATAATTTAATGACAGGAGGCGAATCTACAGAAGAAGTGGCAGAAATCATGGCCATGTTGAAAAAAGAACATTTTCAATTTACATAGTTGTGCTTCAACGCATCGGAACTCTTAAGTGAAATTTCTAAACAGGATAAGGAGAAGCCACTAGAGTTTCACGATGAAGAAGACTTCACAAAGACCCCTGGCCTATCCTAGGACCCCGGTTCAGATAAATTTCTTTTCTCTGTCTCGCCCAAGACGACGTCTTCTAGGCCAACGAAACGTTCTATTCTGTCCACAATTGTTCGCTTCTATGACCATTTGGGATAGGTTAATCCGGGCGTAACGAAAAACTCAATCGCATCTACTGTGCTCAAGGTCTCGTATGGCACCTCTTAAGGGTATCACAATTCAGCTAATTAACGAAAAACAGGCATGCAAATATTTGCCGGTAATTTTCACTGTTGGTCAGCGTTACATACCAACTAATATAAATACGGCAGACATATTGTCGATTGAAGCTCTACTTTCAGAGCTCATATACTCAGAATTATGGTTCCAAGGGCCAGCTTTCTTAGCTAAAGATCAAACGTCTTGGCAAGAATCTGTAATTTCAAAGAAACCACTATCAGAGTTTCGTAAACGAGTCTTTCTCGCAATATGTTCATCTTCGGATCTATCGGAAGGGCCTAAACTCGCAAGCTCTTTTCACAAATTACAGCGTACCTTTGCTTGCAATAATTCATCAGCAGTATTGGCCTATCGGCGGCCGGAAATTAGTCGCGAGCGTGGTAAGCAAGTGCATCAGCTGCAGCAACTGCACCACATAATGGCAGACCTCCCCAAGGAAAGATTGGATGACTCATTGTACACTCTTAAGATCACTGGAGAACCCTTCTTTGGCCCTTTTTTATTACAAAGCAAAGTTCTTATCAGGCTACCTACCAATGCTACATTTGTGTGATTATTTGCTTTGCCTTCCTCAGTGCTCTTCAGCGGCTTATTTCTACAAGATGTCGACCCAGAGAAATATGGTCGAACAACGCGACAAACTTTGTGGACGCCAGCAACGAGCTTAGGCGCTTAAAGGAGTTATTTCTGAATGATAAGTATCAGAAGGCAGTACAAGACTTTTGTGGAATTTTTCCGTCGCTTTCCGCACTTTGGTGGGCTTTGGGAGACTGCGGTATAAACCGCCAAGTACCTCTTTTATCGTTCCGCTTCCAGTTCTGTGATCAGTTTTGAGGATTTATGTACTTTAGTTTGCCATATTACTGCAATCGTAAACTCACGTTCATTAATTTCAATTACAGAGCATCCAGGCGACTTGGATGTGCTAACCCCCTATACCCAAGTCGTTGGCCGTTCCAGACGTCACTGCATTTTAATTCAATAGACTTGATCGTTAGCAAAGGGTTTCTTATCTACAACAGTCGTTTTGGTCCCGCTGGAAGGAAGAGTACCCCACCCTTTTACAGGAGAAGTCAAAATAGAGGTCTAATCAACCTGGACTTGCTTCGCTGATATAGACCTCATCCCACTTAGATGGCCTTTAGCTAAAGTGACCAAGCTAATCTTCGGAACTGATGGCCTTGCAAGAGTTGCTGAGCATAAGACTGCACATATTAAAAAATTAAACAAAGCTTAACGTGCCTATGTAGAACAGCTTTTTGCCACCTGCGACCAGAACTCTAAAGAGCACACTCAGACATACAGCCACCAATGAAACCCGACTTGCCATTAAATTCCCAAGCAGGTGAATGAGTGCGCAGCGATAAAAAAAGGCTATAATCTTTGCCTCTCTTTTACAAAATGTCTTTAAGTCCCATCCGCCATCGAACCAATTTTTCCGAATTTCCTAATCGTAGGTCCTTCGTTCCCAATTACTGTTCAAAAATTCACAATTTAAAATACCATTAAAGAACAGCTGATACTAAAAAAAGCTCCTGTCTATGACTTTATTTCGCCCAAAATCTTAATCGAGTTACCTAAATATGCAGTTATAGGAAACAAAGATCCCCAAACCAGGCAAAGGTAAAACTCAACTGTCTTCCTGATAGACCAATCATCCTCCCTTGCCTGCCAAATCTGTTCGAAACACTTATCTTATCACATAAACGAACACATCTTAAAAACACTTATTCGTTCACCCTCCACCAGTTTGGTTTTAGAGAGAAGCATGGAACGATCGAGCAGTTCAATCCGCATAACATCTAAAATACACGCGGCCTTCAAGCACAGGGAATATTGCTGCTCCCTATTTATAGATATATCCCAAGCGTTCGATAAAGTTAATGCTTTAAGATTTATAAACAAAAAATAAAATAACGGATTTTACCGTTAGATTCTAAAAAATCGGTCATTTCGCAAACATTTACCTACTTATTCGGTAATAAGGACCCCAAAATGCATGGGTCCTGAAAATTAAAAATGGTCGGGTGTTGGGGCTTTTCGGAAGCTTATGACAAATAAATCCCAAGGGCAAACAAAATTGAAACAAAGAAGACAAAAAAAAAGTAAACAAGTTAATAAGTAAAAAAGTTATGGTATATAAAAAACAATAATTCTTATACAACTTGTCTGGAGTTTATTTTGCCTCATAGACATGTACACTAACCACTTCACGACAATTCCACCTATAAAGAAGCGGATTTAAAAGCCTATACACAGAGGCGTCTTTCCTGCAAAAGCGCTAAAATTTCGCAAGACCGTCTTATTCATCCACAAGAAACAAATATGCTGGAAAGATACGTGGTAAATATGGTACAACTCGTTGATGCAATTCTGTTGTAAATCAGTTTTTTTGAGGTACTTATGCCCTCTTTCCACACAGTCCATCCGTGGTGGATGGTTGATGTGCTCTGTGGAAACCAGAGCTTCAATTTTCTCTAGAAAGGCTGTGTGGAACACACCGAACAAACATCGGCTAACTACCGCATAAATTATTCGGTCAAACTCCGTTAAATTTTTACGCGGACTAACTGGCAAATTTTTGTATGTTGGAACGGATGTTGGAAAAGTGATGGATCTTTGTGGAAACGGGTTATTATGTAGATGGTTTTTATTGGCTTACTTCTCTTAGATACGAAAAATTTCCATTTGCAAATATCTAAATTGTATTTAGCTGTTGTTGATAACCATTTTATTGATTTTGTGTTATTTTCTGCTTCTTTTTTATGGGTGTTTACATCTCGAAAGCCAATCAGCTGCTATTGTGTGTGAGCTACAATTCTTTCAAGGGGCTGTGTGAAGAAGGTGAAAGACTTTGATTTGCAGAAACCTTTTAAAAACAAACAAAACAAATACACTGTCAACATTGACCTATATGTTATCTCGTGTATTTTTGTGGGGGAACTATGAGAGACAATAAAAAAGTGAAACTCCAATTCACACGGACACCATCTACCATAAACGTCTTCTTCTTCCGAGTGCAATTCAACCAAAAAGTAGTATAATGTAGACAATTACTTTGGTGTTTTTTTTTTTTTATTTTGGACAAAATATTTGCCTAATTCAATAAATTTGTCCATTTTTGGTTAAATTTCACTTTGTTTTGAACACTCGGATGACGGTAGATGGTCGCAATCCCAGTCCATCCTTAAAAAACGTTTTTTATTTTTGAAAAAGTGAAACTCCACATAGCACATCATCCTTCCAACTTCCGATTTCAATTGATCTTAACAACTGTAGCTCATCAAAACATAAATTAAAATGGTTGACCTGTTGACATTGCATACGTTTTGACGAGTCACAGCTGTTCAGATCAGCTGAAATCGGAAGGTTGATGCGCTCTGTGGAAGTCGGAGTTTCACATTTGTTGACAATTCCAACCGTTTCCAACGGATCGACTGTGTGGAAAGAGGGTATTACCTAATAATGAATCAGTGTAAGGAAGCTATAGCCCACGAAGATTTTATTAAATATATAAATATGTGAATATATGAAATAGTCTAAAAATTTCTTTAATTAAAAAATTAAATATTCTGTAACACCTTTAAAATGGCTGAAAATGTACAAACAAGCTGTGTAAGTTTAATTTGCGCCAGAAAAGGCATGATAATTCAATATTTTTATTCTGAAGGGCTCTGGAACCGAGAACAAAGATGAGGAAGTGGAGCCAAAATTTAAGTACCAACGCCTTGCTAACGATTTAAAAAATATACTTAACACTGATGTTGTCACTTGCGCAGCTGTGCATTATAAGGTGGGGTTAAATAGCTTTAATTTTGCAACTTTACTTATATGTAACTAGTTTCTTATACTTGGCACTTTTCGAGGACGCGTCCACTTGTTGGATCATCAAGGAAACTCTGTCAACTCGAATCTGAGCAACACAGAACATCACAACCATCAAGTAGCAGTTAACCAGATTGATGTGGATACCAAGGGCGAGTTTGTGGCCACATGCTCAGACGACGGAAAAGTGAGTCTCTGGCCTTAGTGCTGCTGAGTCGGGCTAACTTCTTATACCACAGGTAAACATAACGGGTTTGTTCAGCTGTGAGAACAATCAGAATCTAAGTTTCGGAAAATTTATAAAAGCTGTGGCCATGGACCCCGATTTTACAACTCACACTAGACGATTCATTGTAGGTAGGTAAACACATGCAGCATTTCCTGTTCGTTAATATTTAAAAGGGTTTTCCTTAGGTGAAAATAAACTCATATTGTACGAACGAAATCTTCTAAAGAAGCTTAAACCAATTGAGCTTAGCTCAGTCGAAGGCAATGTTTTAACCATTTGCTGGCATGGAATCTTTGTTGCCTGGGCTAGTCACCTAGGAGTCCGTGTGTATGATTTAAATCAAAAATGTTCGCTTGGATTAATGAAATGGGAGGTACCTTCCCAAGAGCGGCTAGATCACTTTCGCTGCCACATGCGATGGTCAAACAAGCATACTCTGTTAATCGGCTGGGTAGACACTATACGAATTTGTGTTATTCGGAAAAGAAATTTAGCTGAAGCTTCTTGTAGCAATCTTCCGGGTTACATTGTTGATCCAGGTGAGAGATATGAATTTTGACAATTGCTTATTAAACTTCAATATTTATTATTTAATTGCAGTCTCGACATTTCAAACTACTTTTTACATCTGTGGACTTGCCCCTCTGACCGCCAGCCAATTAGTAGTGCTTGGTTATCGCAAAGAAAGAAGCGCATATTTTAAAGCTTTACGTCCCGTGCTTTGCGTTATTGAGTACAAAATGAACAGCAGCGAGGAGATCTGCACAGACAGTTTGACGTTGCGTGGATATGAGGAGTACACCGTAAACGATTATAGCTTGGGTTGTATAATCGAGGAGAATCGTTTTTATATTGTGGCCCCTAAGGACATTGTAGTAGCTAGTCTTATTGAAACTGACGACCGGATAGAATGGTTAATTAAGCACAGGTAAGCCAATATAATAATTTCTATTCTATGGTTATTAACAATTCCATGACATGGCTACACTACTAAACTATCGCAACATTTGTCTGCTGTTCTCGTCCAATCGTAATAGTATTCGGGTAATGAGCTCGAAACGGTGCCACTGCAGAGTTTGCCATGGTAGATGTCAGTCATCATTTCTAGACTTCGTTTGTGCAAAACAATATGATATGGCTTACATTTTCGAGGCATGTAGGCCGTGTCAAATCTAGGGTCGTGCCAGCGATATACGTGACGAAGTGGAGCTAGCCAAGTGCCTATAGAGACATCCTCGGACACATAAGGCGTTAGCAGTTGCGAACTATTGACAATATATTCGCATATTTTTCGAGATAATACGTATCCTCCGCCAAGAGCATAGGGCAGATAGTTTTTGCTTAGGTAATAATTAGTCTCTTTCCAATGGCCTTTCCCTTTTATTTTTGCTCGACCATTAAAGTAGCCCCAATAAAGCTGGGGTATGGGATTACGGCCATATTCGGATATTTTACGAAGTAACTTTCGATCATAAGACACAAGCTCATTGAGTAAGCTGTCCAGCTTAACGTAGGTATCGTCATCCACTTTGATGATATATGAGGAATTCATAGTTGTGTATTAAAGTTTTAAGGGCCTGCAGCAGCTTCTCTGTAAGACTGCCGTATGTGTCATGGTGGCGTTGCAGCAGCAGAAGGTCGTTATGTTGATTCTGCTCTCTTAGGAGCTCCGCCTCCAGGGAGCTGCTTATCTTGATAGTGCCAATGGCAAACAGGTGCTTAACTTTAATCTGCCTCTGCGCCAATAGAGGGATTCTAGTCAGGAGACTTTTCTGCCAGTCCATATACTGTTTCAGGCGATTCGCCTGCTGATCCAACTAACTCCAACTGCAGGAGGCCATTGGGGCCGTAGGTTGGAAGATAGATAAGCTCTTCGGGGTAATAAGGCTGCTGAATGGACTTCTTTGCAGTTTGGAGCCAGGTTTTCCGCATGGCATTCCTCTGCTCAGCACTGCGTGGTGTACTTAACACCAGTACCATGAGAAACAGATTCGGATGCGATTTTAAGTCTGATACTTCGCTCCAGTGTGATGGACTTTTGTCTACCGAACTAAGTATTTTCGTGATAAAACTTCCAAAAAAAGGCAGTTATGGCCGTGAAAAGAGTTACTAAATTATTATAACGCCTCATTATTATTTCTTTGAAGCAGTGTGACCGTGTGGAAAATAAAAAAAGATGTGTGCTTATAAAAAATTCACCATCTATTTAATTTTTATTAATTTTAGGATGCCGTGAGCATACCATTACAAGATTTTAGTCAAATTGACTTTGGTGACTTATACCCACTTCCCACAGAGATTCATTCGTTAAACGGATGGTTCATAAAATATTGCCGTTCCGAAAATTTCCCATTTGGTCCGCCATTCACATTTGACGGAATTATGTATGCAATAGTAATAACGTGCGTCAAATTAGCGTCGGTGAGTTAGCGGCGATCGGGAAACAATGGAACTTGGAACAAGGGGGCTGTTTTCGTTTTAAATTTATCGTTATATAGCAAGTAATTTAAAAATTGTAAATGCGAAAGTATTAGAAATAAAATATCTAACGACATATATGTGATCTAAAAAAATTAGACGTCTCAAAGTTTTAAAATATGCATTTGAAAAATCAGGTCTCCCCAATTTTGCCAACTGCTCACCACAATATCCTTATAAAAACGCACTATTTTCGACGCTCACTTTTATTTTAATTAATATGGCTTTCTTATTTCTTATTAAAAGGGGCCTTATTTATACATTATTAAAAGTCGATTAAGTAGACAGATGTCTCAGAAATAAATTGTTTTTATGAATAAGGAACACGAGGCAGGGAGGAGGTTGTTGACGAAGTGGTCGCGAGGGGCTATGTGGAGCGCTCAAAAAAACGCGAACGCAAAAGACCAAACCGCGTCGAGTAGGACTGCGTCGATATTATGCATTTTTCAAATGCATATTTTAAAACTTTCAGGCGTCTAATATTCTTAGATCAAACATATTTCAATAGATATTTAATTTCTCAATATGTTGCATATACAATTTTTAAATGACGGGCCTAAATAACGGGAAAATTTTAATTTAATAATTACAGCATATTTTGGGGGAACAATGAGAGAATGGTGAAAAAGTGAAACTTCAATTCAAACTGCCACCGTCAGCCACGTCTGGTGGCAGTGTGAATTGGAGTTTCGCTTTGTCACCGTCTCCTCTTCGTTCCAATCAAAAATACAGTAATGTGAATTGGCTATAAGCTATGTTTTTCGGTGCAACAAAAAATTTTCATCTTGACAATGCAAATTTGAGCACACACTACGTAAATATGATCAAAACGGAGGGCGCCGACGCAACACGGTAAACATCTTAATTAATTAATATATTTATAATCATCATTCAACTCCTCTAAATTTACTACTAATAAAATCTGCTACAACCTGAGCTTTTGCTGTTGTATAACAGCTAAGTCGGTTGATAAATTATTAATATTAGTCTGTTTTGATCAAATGTTATCGGAAGGCTGATGGTGGTTGTGATCTGTGGGACTCGGAGTTTCACATCTGGGTAATAATCTGCTAGTTGGTTAAACTCAAATTCAATGGTCAGATTTTCTTAAAACTAGGTTAAAAAAAAATAATACAATTTGGACGGTTTTGAGATATTCCAAGTTTTACGCATGTTACAGGAACTCAACAGGTAAATTAAGATCACTTTTTATTTTACAAAATTACCGCGTATTTTTATATAAATATCTTTATGATATTGCATTATATTTAAAATTAGCTAATGTTAATTTTAAGATCAGCAAGAAATCTGTATTTAACATCTTTTTGTAAAAAGGAATTATATTTAAGCATAAATAGCTGAAAAGGTCAAAAAAATACCTCTCAGCACTCAGGAGTCATTTAAAAAGTGTTACTTTTTGAAAAAAGGGAACTAAATGAGCTTTTTAAAGGCCTGTGTACTTCCATAAAACTTTTTCTTAAAACCGTTCAAATGTCATTTTCTTGGGAACCCAGCCAAAAAGGCCCATGAAAATCGGACTTTCGAATTTGAGTTGGCCCTTTGGACAGATTTCTACCAACTTCTCAAAAATCCCAACTGTTTCCCACGAATGGAGTGTGTGTGAAGAGAATATTTGAGGTGATTGAGGAACAATAGAATTTGTTATGTTGTTTGGCGGCTGTTATAATTACAAAACGTAAATCTGTTATAATTACAAAACGTAATAGCCTGATTCCATTGGCGCAACCCAGTGGACCAACAATTGGTAAACAAAGTCGTAATGGCCTAGTCCTTCCATCCATCATCTCTTTCAAAGATGGTCCGTTAATTTCCCGGTCATTCCTTGTCGGTGGAATTTACGTTCCTAACCGAACGTTTCTGACCAATATTTAGACGCTGTTTTTTCGGTGCAAATCTTAAGTCTTGGCCATCTTTGTTTCTGTTTTTTCGGTGCAACGCTTAAGTCTTGGCACAATTGAATTTGAATTGACATGGCGACCATCTTTGTTTCTGTTAACCGGAGGCGTAGTTGATAGGGAAGAGGGGCTTGGGAGGTCAACGCTCCTCCAGGCAGCAAGTTGAATTCAGAGATTAGGTCACTACTAAAAGTTCAGATAACCATTTCACCACTAATCCAAAGCAGTAAAATAAAATGAAAGCAGTACTTCGAAAAGAGTTTATAGAGTTAAAGACGCCGCTGTGACTTTTTATAAATGGCGGATGCTGTGTGGATGCTCTGTGGGAACACCTGTCCACCATCCATCAAAAATCTACCGTTACACTTGGATGGCTCTGTGGGACTGGGCTATATCTATTTAACCACTAATCTATAGCGCTTAAATAAAATAAAAGCAGGAAAAGGTACTTCTTACAGAGTTTGAAACAGTTTAAGGCCCCCTCAAAAATTCTGCATACGCCATTGTGACTTTTGATGACTGGTGGATGGTGGCTCTGTGGAAACACCAGTCTGTGTGGTGGTGGACTATAAATGAACAGCTGTTGCTCCCATGACATAAAGAAATCCAAATCCAAATCCAATCCAATGTTAACCATATTTTTTATGTTTGAATGAGTCACAGCTGTTCAAATCAGCTGTTATTGTGGATGTGGTGGATGTGCTCTGTGGAAATCTGAGTTTCACTTTTTTTTTCGAAAAATTTCTGCCGTGTTCAACGGATGGACTGAGTGGAAAGAGGGATTGGGAAGAGATTTCTAAAAAAAGGCTAGCTATCGAATAAATAAGTACGTCAAAGTCCGTAGAGTTTTAACGGCGGACTTACTGAAAATTTTTTGAAACGGCTATACCTTCTGGACTATCCATTCAACGGACGGTGAAAGAAGGTATAATAAGCAAGACTTAAATGTAACGAGTGTCGTTTTTCGATAAAAAATAAAATAAAATAATGAAAATAAAACTCCACAGAAATAGTTTCTACGCAAACTTGTGTCTCAGTTTTTAATCTATGTGCATGCAACTTTTCCAGAAGTTGTATTCCCACTGCAGGTAGTAAATAAGTCGGAACGTGCCGGATCGGAAGACTATAACATATAGTTCCCATAGGAACAATCGGAAAAAAAATTCAAATCATAACTTTGCTGTTTTTTTTTTTTATATTTTTGTAGTATATATTTTGTAGTTTATCGATATACATATATATGTATTTGTTATTTTAGAATTAGGGCTTAAAATTGTTTAAAAAAAATTGGCTATTTCATATAGCTCTGTTCCCATGAAACAATCGGAATAATCGAAAAGATATATGAAAAAAATACAAATTTTTGCTTCCTTTCTTGTGTACCGTTATTTTCAATTGTCCAAGAAAATTTTCAAACGGAAAAGAGGTTATCGTCTCTAAAGGGCCGAAGGAAATGGAATATGTGTTAGACAGTGGGAATTTAATGTAAGCATTGATTACTTTTATAATGAGGTAAGTTGTTTTACGAAATCATTAAGAAAACGGGAAGAATTGTGCTTTTGAGGAGATAATATAATATATATATATATAATACTATTCTGTGTGAAGAAGCAGACGCATGCAAAGGATAAGTGATAAAAAAAGGGGTTTTATCTGGTTGTGCTTGGATTTTTTTAGGGTCCCAGTATACACAATTCAATGTTCAATTCAGTTGCCTTAAATCTTTCAAGATCATCATGAGATCTCGGCATTTATTGTATTCTCTAGGAATAAATGTTCGAAACGAAATCAATTTGTAACTTATTGAACTGATTGTCCGCAGATTTAAAGATAATTGATGACCTTTACCCAAAAGCCATTAGTAGTAGCCAAAGGGAAACATTGTTATTCAAGTCAATTACCCAGTTTTCTAAAAGCGGTTTCGAAAACTGTAATCTGTTCGAAAGACGTTCTCTGAAATTTAAAAAAATCATTCGCCTTTGAAAACTTTCTCATAAAATTCAGAGTGATGCTTAACACCCAAAATATATAAACGTGCTGCTGCATCGATAGACCTAATGCTAAAGTCAAGATCTCTACCTTGAAATATTATTCCATCCCTATTTAATTCTAAAAGCTCGCCTACGAATTATGCTAAATAAAAATTGGGATCGCTAGGCTTGGAATTACCAACTTAAATCCCAGCTACAAGAAATGTCTTTGTGTCAATGACATGTTTTTGGACGGAACTCCGTCCACATCATTGTTCAGGCTCAGGCTATCAGATTAATAACCAATATTGTTAAGAAAATCAGCGCCTCTGTTACATTGTAGTAAACCTTGCTTCCTGTGCATTTTAAATTTCGAACATCTCTTGCCAATCCTGAATTTTTCGGACAACAACAGAAGCAAATCATTATATAGTCTTTTGCTAATATTATATTCAGAAATACACTGCGCTAGGCGAGATTTGAAACTTTTTTATTTGGAATTCTCACTCTCTCTCACTAAATCATTGAAACTATTAGGAACATCATCACAACATTGCTCTGGAGCACAAAAGTCTGCTCCAGTCTATTCAAGATTTTTAGTAGTGAATGTACTTTTGTTATTATGCTTCGATTCGCATATATATTTCCTGCTCTTGCGTTAAAATGGCATTTTGAAATATATTGTTTCTCCTCTTTGAGCAAGGACAACGTCGTACACCCTTACTATTGCGAAAATGTTTTGAAAGTTCCAAGACGAAAATTATAAAATCAAATGTTAACCGAAATGTCTGCTGTTAGGGATGCCAAATAAATGAAACAACCTTTTACTTTGAGTTCTGAATTGAAACTGTTTTTTTTTCCGTTTCTACGCAAACTTGTGTCTCAGTTTTTAATCTATGTGCATGCAACTTTTCCAGAAGTTGTATTCCCACTGCAGGTAGTAAATAAGTCGGAACGAGCCGGATCGGAAGACTATAACATATAGTTCCCATAGGAACAATCGGAAAAAAAAATTCAAATCATAACTTTGCTGTTTTTTTTTTTATATTTTTGTAGTATATATTTTGTAGTTTATCGATATACATATATATGTATTTGTTATTTTAGAATTAGGGCTTAAAATTGTTTAAAAAAAATTGGCTATTTCATATAGCTCTGTTCCCATGAAACAATCGGAATATTCGAAAAGATATATGAAAAAAATACAAATTTTTGCTTCCTTTCTTGTGTACCGTTATTTTCAATTGTCCAAGAAAATTTTCAAACGGAAAAGAGGTTATCGTCTCTAAAGGGCCGAAGGAAAGGGAATATGTGTTAGACCGTGGGAATTTAATGTAAGCATTGATTACTTTTATAATGAGGTAAGTTGTTTTACGAAATCACTAAGAAAACGGGAAGAATTGTGCTTTTGAGGAGATAATATAATATATATATATAATACTATTCTGTGTGAAGAAGCAGACGCATGCAAAGGATAAGTGATAAAAAAAGGGGTTTTATCTGGTTGTGCTTGGATTTTTTTAGGGTCCCAGTATACACAATTCAATGTTCAATTCAGTTGCCTTAAATCTTTCAAGATCATCATGAGATCTCGGCATTTATTGTATTCTCTAGGAATAAATGTTCGAAACGAAATCAATTTGTAACTTATTGAACTGATTGTCCGCAGATTTAAAGATAATTGATGACCTTTACCCAAAAGCCATTAGTAGTAGCCAAAGGGAAACATTGTTATTCAAGTCAATTACCCAGTTTTCTAAAAGCGGTTTCGAAAACTGTAATCTGTTCGAAAGACGTTCTCTGAAATTTAAAAAAATCATTCGCCTTTGAAAACTTTCTCATAAAATTCAGAGTGATGCTTAACACCCAAAATATATAAACGTGCTGCTGCATCGATAGACCTAATGCTAAAGTCAAGATCTCTACCTTGAAATATTATTCCATCCCTATTTAATTCTAAAAGCTCGCCTACGAATTATGCTAAATAAAAATTGGGATCGCTAGGCTTGGAATTACCAACTTTAATCCCAGCTACAAGAAATGTCTTTGTGTCAATGACATGTTTTTGGACGGAACTCCGTCCACATCATTGTTCAGGCTCAGGCTATCAGATTAATAACCAATATTGTTAAGAAAATCAGCGCCTCTGTTACATTGTAGTAAACCTTGCTTCCTGTGCATTTTAAATTTCGAACATCTCTTGCCAATCCTGAATTTTTCGGATAACAACAGAAGCAAATCATTATATAGTCTTTTGCTAATATTATATTCAGAAATACACTGCGCTAGGCGAGATTTGAAACTTTTTTATTTGGAATTCTCACTCTCTCTCACTAAATCATTGAAACTATTAGGAACATCATCACAACATTGCTCTGGAGCACAAAAGTCTGCTCCAGTCTATTCAAGATTTTTAGTAGTGAATGTACTTTTGTTATTATGCTTCGATTCGCATATATATTTCCTGCTCTTGCGTTAAAATGGCATTTTGAAATATATTGTTTCTCCTCTTTGAGCAAGGACAACGTCGTACACCCTTACTATTGCGAAAATGTTTTGAAAGTTCCAAGACGAAAATTATAAAATCAAATGTTAACCGAAATGTCTGCTGTTAGGGATGCCAAATAAATGAAACAACCTTTTACTTTGAGTTCTGAATTGAAACTGTTTTTTTTTCCAAATATTGTTTCCAAGCTTCGTATTCAACACTTATCTATGACCAACGCAGAGGCCGCATCAATTTGCCTGAGCTGCAGATTTACCTTTTTTCCCCCGTACAGCGGCCCTTGGTGCAGTGTGTGAGACACATCTTAAGCTATAACATTTGTTAGTTCAAGTACTAAATGACTAAGAACTCCACCCATATCTTGTTTGAGTAACAAATCATAAATTATGGCTCTAGATTGATTAACATGACGTGCCCAGAGCTCATAAAATCTTATACATTATTTTAATTTGTGCTCTTCTGAACATTCTGGCAAGGGTCGGCAAGATTAGGTGTATGGAATATTAATTACATAAATGATATACATATTTATTTTGTTAGCATTCCAAATAAAAATAGTGACATATATCTTTATTTTTCGATAATATAATATTTTGCAGCTTACTTATTGATTTAACACCTTTGCAACAGCCAAAGTTTTATTGCTTGACTTTAATTACAATTTCATATTAGTTTATGTATTACAATAGTATTTATATGTTCAAATATCGAGCATACCGCTTGGTTTGGCTATGGCTTGTAATTGCCTTCGTACATTTATTATTCCTATAAAATATACAGTTAAAATGATTATAATTACAATTGCCAACACTTAAAGTCTGTACCTATTCTTTATCCTTGCAGAACTAAATTCTCAGACAAATTGGACAGACAAAATTGGAAATTTTACTTGATAAGATTCCCGCTAACTTTGAAAGTACTAGTGCTTCCATTGTTAAATCCTTCTGGCAATTATTGCTTTTTATTGAAAGCGTTACCTTGTGCCTCAATATGCACTTTCCTGTGGAAGACACTCCACTGATCTCCGATTAAGATCAAATTTTCGGTAATTTTAAAATCTTTGCAAATTTTTTCGAAATTGTTGTGTTTTGCGAATCGTTGTCATGCAAGCGTTGACTTTTTCTTTTTATTATTTTTTTATAAATCATGTGTAGCATGTAACGATGGTTTTTTTTCAAACCGAAAACGTATTTTATTGACAAGAGTGCTTTAAACATTTAAAAAACAATTGTGCATGGGAAAATGTTTTGTTCCATGTCTTTGCTAATAGGACAATTGTTAGTAAAAAATGTTCTTACATTGCAACTAAATATATTTTTTCCTGGCCTTTCATGCTGAATTGATCTTATTGTACATAACCGCTGCTCCAAAATTCAATGACGTTAGAAAACGTTTGAATTTCTTTTGATTCTTTAACATGGCTTTGATATAGGTTCAGAGCTTCTTTGTTTAACTTTCTGATTGTAATGTGTAATTTTTAAATTCAATTACTTTAAAATCCGGTAAAAAAGCCTTATTCTTTTGAATTCGGTCGATTATGTCCATATACTCAGCACTACGAAAAGCTTCAGAAAATAGATCAATGATTGGAAGATAGATCAATGATCCACAAATTCGTCCACTGATGGCTCGTCCTGCCTGCAGAGGGTATCAGGTACAACATTCGGTGATTCTATGTTCAATTTGAAAAACAAACCCTTGCAATTGAATAGACCAGCGAGCTAATCGTTCAGAGAGACCTTTCTGACGCATAAGCCACTGCACCGAGGCATTATCTATGAAAACTAAAAATTCCTGACCGATGTAAGGACGAAATTTCTCTATGCCTTTCAAAACTGCCAAACATTCTAATTCCGTAACGGAATAGTTTCATTGTGCTTTGGTTAACTTTGAGGACATAAATGCTATGGACATTTCTATACTTTAATCTTTTTTTGTGAAAGGACACAACCAAGTCCGTACGAACTTGCGTCACACAGTAAGATAAATCATTGGTCGAAATTCGGAGTGGACAAGATTGGAGCGGAGGTTAATCGCTTTTTCCATTTTTTGAAAGCGATAAGGGCATCCTCCGTCCGTACAAACGAGGATTTCTGCTTTTTTAACAACTCTGTCAAGTGAATGCTTAATTAGGATGAATTTTCTACAGAACGGCGGTACCATCCAGTTTAGCCGAGAAAATTATCTGAGGAGATGTTTTGATCTGACCGTCGCGAATTATAAAACCTAAATACTTTATTTCCCTCATGCAAAAACTAGACTTCTTCACATTAATCGATATGTTTGCCTTTCGAAGGCAAAGAGCGATTTCTTGTAACGAGAGCAAATGGGAAACGAAATCATCTGACATCACGAGTAAATCTTCTAGATATATGAAAACTCGGTTACGCAATTCTGGTGGATTGACCTGATCCATAAGTCTGCACATCGTCTGGGGCGCATTAGTTAAACCGAAAGGCATCACCACATACTGGTACAATGGCCTGTTAGGGATAGTAATTACCTTCGTACATTTATTATTCCTATAAAATATACAGTTAAAATGATTATAATTACAATTGCCAACACTTAAAGTCTGTACCTATTCTTTATCCTTGCAGAACTAAATTCTCAGACAAATTGGACAGACAAAATTGGAAATTTTACTTGATAAGATTCCCGCTAACTTTGAAAGTACTAGTGCTTCCATTGTTAAATCCTTCTAGCAATTATTGCTTTTTATTGAAAGCGTTACCTTGTGCCTCAATATGCACTTTCCTGTGGAAGACACTCCACTAATCTCCGATTAAGATCAAATTTTCGGTAATTTTAAAATCTTTGCAAATTTTTTCGAAATTGTTGTGTTTTGCGAATTGTTGTCATGCAAGCGTTGACTTTTTCTTTTTTATTATTTTTTTATAAATCATGTGTAGCATGTAACGATGGTTTTTTTGACAAGAGTGCTTTAAACATTTAAAAAACAATTGTGCATGGGAAAATGTTTTGTTCCATGTCTTTGCTAATAGGACAATTGTTAGTAAAAAATGTTCTTACATTGCAACTAAATATATTTTTTCCTAGCCTTTCATGCTGAATTGATCTAATTGTACATAACCGCTGCTTCAAAAATTCAATGACGTTAGAAAACGTTTGAATTTCTTTTGATTCTTTAACATGGCTTTGATATAGGTTCAGAGCTTCTTTGTTTAACTTTCTGATTGTAATGTGTAATTTTTAAATTCAATTACTTTAAAATCCGGTAAAATAGCCTTATTCTTTTGAATTCGGTCGATTATGTCCATATACTCAGAACTACGAAAAGCTTCAGAAGATAGATCAATGATTGGAAGATAGATCAATGATCCACAAATTCGTCCACTGATGGCTCGTCCTGCCTGCAGAGGGTATCAGGTACAACATTCGGTGATCCTATGTTCAATTTGAATTTCTATACGTTAATCATTTTCTTGTGAAAGGACACAACCAAGTCCGTACGAACTTGCGTCACACAGTCGAAATTCGGAGTGGACAAGATTGGAGCGGAGGTTAATCGCTTTTTCAATTTGTTGAAAGCAATAAGTGCATCCTCCGTCCGTACAAACGAGGATTTCTGCTTTTTTAACAACTCTGTCAAGTGAATGCTTAATTAGGATGAATTTTCTACAGAACGGCGGTACCATCCAGTTTAGCCGAGAAAATTATCTGAGGAGATGTTTTGATCTGACCGTCGCGAATTATAAAACCTAAATACTTTATTTCCCTCATGCAAAAACTAGACTTCTTCACATTAATCGATATGTTTGCCTTTCGAAGGCAAAGAGCGATTTCTTGTAACGAGAGCAAATGGGAATCGAAATCATCTGACATCACGAGTAAATCTTCTAGATATATGAAAACTCGGTTACGCAATTCTGGTGGATTGACCTGATCCATAAGTCTGCACATCGTCTGGGGCGCATTAGTTAAACCGAAAGGCATCACCACATACTGGTACAATGGCCTGTTAGGGATAGTAAAGGCAGTATACTGGCGTGATTTTTCCTCTAGAGGAATTTGCCAGCATGTTTGTTTTAGTTCCAATCTGCTTATAAACCGAACCGGAGGCAACCTTCTCAATATACCTTCTATAAGAGGTAAAGGTTACGCGTCCGTGCAAGTGTGTTTATTAAGCTCTCGCCAGTCTAAACATAATCGAACTTTACCTTCCTATTCTACCAAAACACAATTGCTATTCCAAGGACAGTTGTAAGGTTTGATTAACCCCTAAGCTAATATATTATCTATCTATTTAAACATTAATTTCTCTCGAGCTGGTGACACTGGCCAATTCTTCGTAATTTTCATCTATTAAATGCGAAATAACACTAGTCCTTCCCAAACCTTCATCTTTACAAGACGGAAAGACCGTTGCTGTTGTCCCGACGAAAGTTTGTGCATTATAGGCGAGTCCGATTCATTGTCTGAGTCCCATACGTCTAATTCCGATACATTTGAACTCAAAATCTGATCGCCTTGGCCAAAACTTGTCCAAAAATCCATTCCTAAATATGCATCCTGCTTTAATGTTGGTATGAGAAAGAATTTGATGGGTTTAGTGAACTGCTCGTACGTGATTGATGTGTTTATTACGCCCACTACATGACACAGATTTCCATCAGCAGTTTTGATCTTTCCGGAGCAAAAGCGCGTTCCTGGGTTTAACTGAAGGTCTCTAGCCAAGTGATTGCCTATTCAGCTAATTGATGCACCAGAGTCTAGAAGTGCTTTTATTGTTTTACCTTCAACTTGGATTTCGGTAGATATTAAACGCTTTCTAGTTTTAATGACCTTTTCTTACGCTTAATGTGCAACGTTTGAGCTTGTTCTTAAACTTTAAAGCTTGTAAATTTCCAAAATTGTTATCTCTTATCTTCAAATAATTTTCCATTCATAAACTAAATGGCAAGTTTTTGTCTGATTTAGCTATTTTGATTTTCTAAAAATTCACTATTGTCGGTTTGCGTGTAGTTATCTATAAAAGTTATTTTGGACGCTCTTACTCGGTGGAAATCTATGCATCCCTCAATCGGTTTTCCTGAGGATTACAAATTGTACAGTGCGGCTTACGGATAACCCTAGCTACGCAGCCAAAGCAACAAATTCTACGAAGTGCTAGGCAGTCATCGTGAGTGTGACCACTCTGATTACAATTCCAACAAACCATTTTGTTGCGAACTAAATTGGCTATAGTGCCTTCCGATTCGTACATTTCATCGTGGATTACCTGACTTATGTTTCGTCGTTGGTTAAATGGTGATTTTACTGGGAAACACTTAAGTTCGCCATGAAAATGCTCATGCTTATGCACTTCTTCATTCAGCTCGTCAAGCTTACGAATTTTTAAATGCATCCATTCATGTCTAAGCGACGTTTTAGAATTTTCTATTAGAAGTTGTATTAATTCCGATTCTGCCATCATGGAAATTGAGATGTGTGGCTTTATGAGGCAGACTCGTGAAGGCTTTAAGAATTTTTTTGGAGTATTAAAGCAACTCACTGAAGGGTTCAACGCGGTAAGAGAATAATTTAGTGGTAAAAAAAACTGTTAGGTGAGTCACCTAAGTGTAAAAAAAAACGAGTCCATCAAAATGGGTGCTTATTTAATTTCAGTTGTCACTAGAGAAGTTGTAGAGCAGTCCGGTGGATCAACAGTTTTACAGCCAGCTGTTCCTAATGGTACTGCGTGCTCTGAAGTACTCCCTTCATCAGAAAATCGGAGTAAAAATGTTCAAAGTGTTCAAGGTGTTGGTGGTCGTTAAAATAAACTTTCAGTTGTTTCCCATAGGAAACTATTATTTGTTTTTCGATTTACCCCCGAAACCATATCTAATGATGTTATGAAATTTATTCAAGAAATATACCCATTCCCAAACATTAAATTTAAATTTCCATACGCTCACTAGATATCCTCTTTCAAAATATCTGTTACTCCAGAAGCTTTTAATGTTTTTAATAGTACAAGTTTTTGGTCTGATGATGAACTAATAATAAAAGAATTTGTTCCTAAAAGATGAAGAAATAATAATCGGCCTCCGATTTTAGAGTCTGTTCCAAAAAACTGAACACTTCTATATTTATAGCCTATCAAAGTGTAAGGGGACTTAATATGAAGTTCGCTGACTCCTTTGCCTTTAATGAACATATTTTAGTCTTCATAGAAACTTGATTGAAACCAGAGATTTCCAACTCTAAAGTTCATCCAAACAACTTTAACACTTATTAAACTGATCGCGTTTCTCGTAGAAGAGTAAGGGTGCTTATTACTGTTGACTCCAGTCATACATCGGAGATAATTCAGACTGTTTACCCCAATGGAACATAATTTGTTAGTATTAAAGTTTCCTTTGTCGGATCATGACTTTGTTGATGGATTAGCTCTATCCTTAACTCTTTATATAGGCAATCTTTTTTGTTTTGTATCCGTCTGAGGTCGTTGTTTCTAGAATTGACTCTCTAGTTGTCCCAGAGGACCGATACCATCCCACAATGGAATTGACAATTTCCCTGCCCTGCCCTGATACTTATTCCCATATAGTTTATTATACTAAAACGAAATGCTTCCGTAAATGTGACTTTAATAAGCTAAACGAATACAACTGTACAAACTTATACAGTTGCATGGATATGGAAAAAGCTACTGAATTATTCTATAGCGCTTTAAACACTTTTTTATTGAATGCGTTCCTGAAAGTCTTCCTTCAAGACATAAGACCCCCGTGGTTTACGCGAGGGCTTTAAAGACTTAAAAACCTAAAAGCAAACACAAAAAGGACAAAAGGACGGGCAAGCCATCTGATTGTCGAAATATATAGTTGGTCGGTCGTATTTTAATGTTTTTAACAGTACCCGAGTTTTTGCAAAAAGTCCGTTTTTTTAAATAAATAAAGTTAATAAATAAAGTATGGGGCCCTTTTAATTTACATTAAGCTAATTGATGCCAACATTTAAAAAAATGTTGTTAAATGGATTTTTTTTTTGCATAATTTTAAAGATTCAATTTTATGCAAATTTGAATAAAATGAAAAGAGATGAATACTTAGCTGATCGAACATCTTGTGAGGTCATTGAAATTGACTTAAATGTCAAGTAAAAATGTCATTTAGCAGAATTTCTTACTTATTTTAAAATATCGACAACAACTTTAAAAATCATGGTTTTTTCGTATTGGGATACTTCGCTTTAGAATTCCTTTCGGGTACCCTCTGGAAATGAAAAAATGTTATTTGATCAATTCACTACCAAAATCACCCTCCAAAATCACCCTCCAAGAAAAAAAGCTAACTTCGGCAAGCTGAAGTTTATATACCCTTGCAGCTTTTGCAAAAATTAAATATTCCTGAAGACATTGAAATTATGATTTACGTGCGTATATGTTTAAAAACATTGAAGCTATGATGATGTGCAGCTTAATTATTCGAAAGTTCTTATGGGAGCTATATGAAATCGTTTTCCGATTTCAATAAAATTAAAAGCCTAATTCTGAACTGTCAAATTATCAATAAATCAAAAAGAATTTTTAAACAATATTACAGAAAAGAAAAGTTACATTAACAAAAAAATTTGTATATATTTTATTGTTTCTATGGGAGTTATAAGATATAGTCGTCCGATTTCGATAAAATTTAAACCGTAATTCTGAAATATTTAATCATTGCTATATGTGGAAGAACTAAAAAAAAACGTAAAAACAGCAAACTGATGTTTTTTATTTGTTTTCCCGATTGTTCCTACTTATATCGTTCCGACTTATATACTACCTGCAATAGAAAATCAACTTTTGGGAAAGTTTCATGGAAAACTGAGAGACTAGTTTGCGTAGAAACGGGCGGACAGACGGACGGAATGACGGACGGACAGAGGGACGTGTCTAGATCGACTCTCCTAGTGATGCTGTTCAAGAATATATATATATATATATAGGGTCGGAAATGTCTCCTTCACTGGGTTGCAAACTTCTGACTGAAATTATAATATCCTCTGGAAGGGTATTAAAAAGAAATTTTTGTTGGGACGATTATTATACTAATATTGGCAGCTAGGGCACCAATAGATGGCATTTTTAAAAGTTGAAAAGTCTTAAACCACTTAATATTTTTTAATGGTTTATCCTAAACTTAAATTATGTTAAAATGAATTGAATCCGTTTCCTACTTTTTTCTAGAAATAAAATATGCAAAATTAGAAACATTTTTCGATTTTAGATTAGATTAACTATATCTTTTGAAAATGTTTAAAATTTTATTATTAGTTGGTTAAAAATATCTATCTTTTAAGAAGATAATCTTCTTTATTTCAGCTTCCTAGCTGTACAGGGTAAGAAATGCCAGATTTTTGGCCAACCAAATTAGATTTCTGGTCCAGTGTGCAGTGTGAAGTCGAATTTTCTAATGATCTGAAGCAATTTTAGAAGTTTGCAAATGTCAAGCAAAATGACTCCACCTTCACCATCACCAGACCTCAATTAAGTCGTTTACTGATTCTGCGATTGCTGATTTATTTGCCAAGTTCTTGCAAACTCAAAAATTGAGTTTACCCTTACAATTTAAACAGGTCAAATTGAATTTTTTCCCTGGTAATAACATAAAGTTCTCTTCTAAGAGATTTGGAGACCACAACACCAACATACTCTCCAAGGCCGGACGGGCTTCCTGGGTGCGTGCTTAAGTTTTCTGCCTCAACTATTTGTAAACCGATTTGTTAACTGTTTTAATTGTCTACCTCAACATCAGTTTTTCCAACTATCTGGAAAGATATTTTTAGTATTCCACTCCAAAAAAATGGAGGAAAGTCGGATGTCTAAAATAATAGAGGTATTTCTAAATACAATACGATGCATTTGAGCGCATTACTACTTCTCAACTGCAACATTGGTGTTCCTCGTTAATATAACCTTATCAACATGGTTTTCTTAAGCGAAGGTCAACTATCAACATACTTGAACTAACATCTATTGTAGTTAAAGGATTAAATGTAGACTAGTGTAATTTGTTGTCCCCAATATCAAGTACACATTGATCGTATTGAGTCGGAAAAAAAAAAATTTCCCCGCTGAGGAACAAACGAAAGGATGCCCTCTTAGTCTAGTAGATTACTATTGCTTAATTTACTTACTCTTGTAAATCGTAGAATTATGTTTGTAACTATTTATATGCACAATCTTTTGTCAGAGGTAATATTTTCTTCATAGAATTGGTAAGCCGCTTAGCTTTTAATGTGCCTTTTAGACCAACCCGCAACTACTATCCTCTTAACTTGCTAGGATATACCTCAAATTTTGGCCTGCATGAACCCTTTCGAGTTCTTTGTAATAATTATATTAAAATCTATATAATAATAATTATATTAAATTCCATATAATCAAATTTGCATTTCAAACTCTTTTCCTGTCCTAAAAACAAAAATTTTAACATATTTGCTGTTACGGGAGAAATAAAACAAGAAAGAAATAGATACAATAACCAGAGGTAGAAGACACCGTGAAGATCAGGTGCCGAAACACCGAAAATGGACAATACAGTAACCAGTAACGAATTGGTCAGAGTAAGCAATTCATGAGAACATACAGCTGGTAATAGGTGTACGCAGCAATTAATATGAAACCTAGCAGAATCCAGAAGTGGGCCATTAAGCCAGAAAAAGGGGAAATGCTGTACCTAAGTGGGAACACTTAGATGACCCGGAAGCAATGCCGGTATAAAAGAGCCCCACTTTAGGTTCGAAGAGACAGTCCAAGATGATTGCGGATCGGGCAGTCACAGTCCAAGAGATTGCGAATCCAAGATAATTGAGAATCGGGAGTCGAGACAGAAACGACCGCGGAACCGCGTTAAGTCCTCTACTGGCAAAAACAGTAATCGCGGAGGATCTATCCGAGTGATGAACTTAAAACCCGATAGAAATATAACTTATATGTCATGGGATCTACAACCTCGAAAGCATCCGACAACACGGCAAACGTTGTGTCTCATTACTGGACTCTTGATCCTTATGTTGATTCTGAACCTCCTACGGATGTACAAGCGATCTGTGCAGAGTGGTCGGGACCACGGACACAAGCTGGAAAACATCATAGCAGACACCGCCGATTGGCCAGAAAGGAGCCAGCACTAACATATCATCCCGTGCAAAAATGACAATTACTTTATTATTACTATTTCAATTTCGGCAAAACAATCAATGCAAGCAAAAGACCAAAGTTTCTATTTGTAATTGGAACCACCAGAAGAAGCCGCAGCTAGAAGTGCTACCGTCAACCGTCGCGAGTGCCGTTTTCACTCTTCTCTTCCTCGCAATTCGTATCGCAATTAAGCGAATAACTTCTTTTTTTCTCCTGTTTGAGAAATAAGACCAACATCGCGCAATTGCCCAATAAATGACAATTAACATGATTTTTTTAAATATAATAATCCAACACTTTAGTAATAATGTTAAGTGAATTTGCACTAATATAAATACATTTATGCATATGTGTATAATTAATTTCCCAAACCCAGAATACCACATTGAGAGCTCTCGTCGATGGAAATAAAAAGGGGTAAGTGAGTTGCGTTCGACTTACTGTCAAGCAAAAGTATATATATATATATATATATATATATATATTTACATATATGCGTATATATCTAGATCTATGTGCAACTTAAACATTTAGATATATATCGAATCCTCATACATTAAATTTAAAGTCATGTAAGATCCCTATTATTATTTTTATAAATTAACTCAAAATATTATTCTTTAAAAATTTATTCATTCTCAACAGATTATATATTATATACACCGCGTAGAATATTTCTCAATTTAATTAATTTGGCACCCTAATTTACTCTTTTATTTGTCAATTAAATGCGCACCTTTTTAAATGAAAAATCTGTTCAATAAATTATAATATGAAACAGAACTCAATAATGGCTTGGTAAACGTTTATAAAAGGAGGAGCTGTCGCAAATGGGAAAACTCGGGTCAAGAACAATAACGTAACTTTCGACTGACGACATTGACAAAAGGGGATCGCATTGCAGTGACCGGCAGCGATCCATCGGAATACGGGAGGTATGAGAGGGCAGGGTAAAAGCGCTCGAACTAGCTACTTGAGAATCTTGTGGGCAGCGACGACAAATGACAAAACGAACTGGACGATCTCTATCATTTTCCTAAGGCACGATAAATTTATTCTCGTTATGTAGGGGAGGGAGTGGTTTCCAAAGAACCCACCCCATCCGGCGAGCTGAATCGGCAACCAGCGTGCCTACCCAGGACGCAACTCCCTCGGCCCAAGTCCTTTGGACTGGGCACTAATACACCGACGTAACAGAATTGGCGCCCAACGGAGGATTCTTCGCATCCTTAGAACTAGGACATTTTTTGTTTTACGTATTAAAGGTTACGATTTCAAAATCGGAATACCGGATGTAGGGCATATCTGAAAAATTACTTGCCAGACATAATTTTCAATTTTTCGGAATAAAGATCAAAAATAGTCTGTGTCCCCACCTAAAATTCGTTTTCGCAGGTATATTTAATTTAATTTTTTTTTGCACATATAAAGTCCCCAACTTCAGCGACAGTCTGAATTGAGAGGCCTCGCAATCGGAACCTTGTCTCAGAATAGCCGTGCGACTTTATGACTCTTTTCAATATCTAGTAAAATCATTTGTCTTTGCTTTATTAATAGAAAAATTTAATGCGTTTTAATTTAAAATTGTATAGTCCTTATATAATATTATCAAATCACGTGCAAGACCGACATAGCATTTTTAGGGAACCAACAAAATTTTTTTGGGTTTTCTCTGGCCGACGCTATCCGCTTGAACCAGGCAAGAACCAGGTCGCTCGAGAGGATCGAGTCCAGGGAAATCCGATTGACTAAGAGGGGGGAGGGGCGAACAGACCAGATCTG